CCCTCTGAAAATGGGTGAAGACCGGGATACCCCACGCCCTGCAGCTGGGAGCCGGCTCTCTGCTGGGATGCGAGGAAGAAGGAGGCCTGCACAAGGTGGGGCGAGGTCTTGTGGGAGCCTGTTCCCAGGGGTCCGGCCATGATTTTAGGTGAGATTTCCTTATTCAACCTACAACCTCCTCGTAAAAGTCTCCAGCACAGGAGGCCCCGGAGCAAGCACAGCAGAGGCAGGCGTGATGCTGCCTGAGCTGAGGAGTAGGGGCTGGGGAGGGGGCTGGCCTGAAAGGGGAGGGAGCTCCCCAGGAGCTGGGAAGCAGATCAGGAAACCAGGGCTTGCCGCCTGCAAGAGATACAGCCTCAGAGAGGATCTGAAGGAAACCCTCACTAGGGCGGCCTCCCAATGCCCCTGCCCTGCACACACCCCCTGCGGTCTCTGGTGATGGCGCTCCCCCCCCAACAGTCGCTACCTAAATTCCTTTAGCCAGTTAAGTGGGAGGTGAAGGGTTTGTTTTTTCACTGCGCTGCTTCTCGGTTGCCTTTAATTCCCTTTGGCTGTCAGTGACTGAGTGCCCAGGGTCTGTGACTGCGGAGGACCCCAGGATGCTTCTGAGCTGCGGTGTGGGTGTGTGGGTGGCGGCTCCCTCTCCCGGCAGGCTGACAGGCGGTGAGGGAGGAGGTGTTTGTCTCAGCCACATGCCCCCCCCCAGTCCAGGTGGCCCCCCCACCCTCAAGAAGGCTGTCCTGGGTTGGCAGGTGGCCGCACGCAGCCTCCGCCCTCCATGTCCAGGTGCGCCCTGTATGCTGGACCCTGGGACCTCAGGCAGAGTGGGGCCCGCAGCACCCCTCCCAGGAGCGGGGGGGGGGGGGGGAGGGAGCCCCAGTGACCTCTGATGCCCTCCACAACCTTCAGCCACACGTGAGTCAGACTGAGTCTGTCAGACCAGGCATTTCATCCTTTCTATCAGCATCCGGTGCTGGGGGGCAAAACCCGATGAGCCCGCCGGGAAAGTCCTGTCCGTCCTGGAGGCCGCTGAGATGTGGAAAACGGGGAGGGGGTGTGGGCCCACGAGCCTTAAACTGACCTCTAACCCGAACCCTAAATCCTAGCCCCAACCCCTAATGCTAATCTCTAACCCCCAGCTCGACCTCACCCTCCAGCCCTGACCCAACTTCCATTCGCTGGATGAACACGGGTGTGAAAGCCACATGCGAGAAACACGAAGTCACGTGCAACACTTGAGTTCACGGCGTGCAAACTGGATGCCACTTCTTTTCCCTGCAAAGAGAGTATCGCTGTGAATGGGGTTCACAAGGAGCCTTGAAGACACATCTTTTGAAGAATTACACCCACTTCAGTAAATGGCTTCCAGCATGTGTGGAACTTCCCCTCCGCGAAGGAGCGTGTGGCGCGCGGCTCCCAGGCGCCTGCAGAAGGCAGTGAGCCGGCGCTTCGGGGCCTGCGCGGGGCAGCGCAGGGCCCGTGGGGTTGAAATGTGCCCGGACTTTGGTTTCTGGCTTCTTAGGAATTTTATTAGGTTGACCAAATGCTAATGTGGAACAGTGAAGACTTCTCCTCTTTCGATTGGGGTTTCGATATCATGACTTAGAGGTGACAGTTGTCATTTAAAAACCTCGATGTGAAGGACGCGGGGTAGAGCGTGCGCCCAAGGAAGCCTCCCTTGCCCCCGCGGTGTGGTCTTCGCGGGCCAAGGTGTCCCCAGGAGCCTGTAGCATGTGGGTTCTCCAGCCCAGCAGCACCTGCTGCCTCAGGCCCTCCCTCGCCTTGAAGGCGACCCGGTGAGTCATGAATAGAGAAGTTTGGAAAACCTAATGGCACATAAAAATCACCTGGAGGTGTACATAAATTTAAGGAGGGGGCATTTTTCAGTTTATAATGTCCCCAGGTGGTTCCAAGCGCATCTGGAGGGGGACTGAGGGAGCCCCCTGGCACCAGCCGCCGCCCCCTGCCGGGCCTCCCTCGAGCCGAGCCTCGGGTCGCTCACACAGCAGAGGGACCGCCACACCAGAGGGGTCTGCTGGGGTCAAGCCCGGGGGCTGCCGTGAAGGTGCAGCAGCCAGGCCAGGATGGAGACAGAGACAGGGACCACCCCGAGCTCCGCTTTTCCAACCACACGACGCCATTTCCAGGAGCGTGTGCGGGAGCGCGGCCGCGAGGTCCGACGCTGCCGGAGGGAAAGCGACGGGCTGAACGGGCCCTGGCACCCCAGGGGCCTCGGGCGGAGAAGAGCAGCCCCTGGGAGCAGGCCTGTGCGCCCCTCCGCTGCCCGGGTCAGGAGGGGCGGCTGAGTCCAGCAGGCCAGTCGGGGTTGGGTGAACAGACGGGGGCGGGGGACTCGCGCAGACCCCCTTATTGAGGCCTGTTGACAAGGTCAGCGCTGGCATGAACGCGCCAAAGCCGGAGGGGTGTCAATGAACCCCTGCAATGAAAGAGCCCCTTTCCAGGTGAAAGCGGGACCTTGCAGCCAACCCCCTCCCCCCGAGACAGCTCCCTGCTCCCCGCCTGCCCGTGGTCCACCTCCTCCGCTGTCCCGGAGAGAGGCTCCATAGACTTTGGCCCGTGGCCAGGCCGAGACAAAGCCAGTGTATTTCTGGGCAAAGTGTGCCTTTTCCTGCTCATCCCCAAAGGCGGGTTCTCGCCCCCAGGCCGCCCAAGCAGTGTCCACTGCAGAGTGCGGCCTTGGCAGCTGCTCCTGCCCCACCTGTAAGTGGCTCGGGGGGACGACTTGGGGGTGAAGGAAGGACCATGAGGGCTGGTGGGGGGGGCGGTCAGTGGGCTGTGGCTCCTCACTGTCCAGCCTGGAGGCCCAGGCCCCTGTCCAAGCTGCCGGAAACAGACGCAGAGGAGCCGCAAAGCTGCAGGACTCGCCTCCTGCCCACAGAGACCAGACTGAATGAGAACACAGTTCGCACAAGGAGGAAAAACCCTGACACGTCTCAGAACCCCCGGTGGGCTGCAGCAGGAAGCAGCAGAAAGAGAAGTGATTGCCCCGAGGAAGAAAGAGGACAGGAACAAAGGGGTTGCTTTTCCAAGCACTTCTTGACACAAAATTCTCCTTTGACTTCCTGAGGTCGTTTCAAAGCACCGTATTAGAAAATTCCAGCATGGAAGCAGTGGTGTTCGCGGTAACCTCTGAGACGGCAGAGAGGGGGAGCATGAGTACTCACCGCCCGGGTCCACCTTCTCAACACAGACGCGCTCTCCGCAAGGCAAGCCGCGGCTTGTGCGACAAGTGTCCTCTCAGGGTGTTTTGCCTCTGCCGGCCAAGTTTGCTGTGAGCCGTTCCCTCGCCTCTTAGGTGATGGCTGCGCACAGCTAGGAACCCCACGGAGCGGGCTGCTCATCTCCAGTGAGCGCTGATGAAAGAGCATTTTTGAATCAAGTAGTCAGGGAAGCGAGGCAAAGCGTTTCTCACACGAGTCTTGGGAAAACTGTCAGGGTCTGAGACACAAGATGAACCTTTAATTTTTTATTTCATTGGATCTTTGGGAAAAAGTCTAATGCTTTCAAGGCCAGAAGTCTCCGCAGGGATCACTCACGGCGAAAGGACGTTTCAGCTGGTAGTTCTCAAATGGGTTTTAAGACTGATGCTCTTAAAGAGACAACTAGAAACGACTTTCTTAGAAAAGCTTGTTTGTCGTCTCAAGATTTACCAAGGTCCGTGGGTTGTAGCCCACCCCGTCCCCCCCGCCCCGCAGTAGATCTTCTATGTGAGTTTCCTAAATATGCAGGCTCTGGGGCCTCCACACCCCTCCTGAGGGGAAGCCCTGATGACCCAGGTTCCACATGGCTCTCAGGTGGCTGCGACTAGCAGCAATCTCCACAGCGATCGAGGGGCTCCCCCCTCCCCCCCAGTCTCATCAGGAACCCGTCCCCCCCAACCATGTGCGCCCATCCAGCCTTCAGAGGGCAGGACAGAGCAGCTTCCCAGGCCCCACCACACACGCAGATGTCGACTCCACCTGCCCTTCTCAACCAGAAAGCCCACGGGCGGGACAGAGCGCGCGCAGGAAGGCCTCCAGCGGGCCGCCGAGCTGGAGAGGCCGGCCATGTGAAGACATCACTCCGCGGACGGTAGGACCAACTTTATTAACAACAGCCTTTATGACAGCCACTCTCGAGTGTGAAAATAAAGGTGATGGATTGAAGTTCAGAACTCACTTGCCGTTTGCCCTTTCACTGGGTGTGCCAGAGGCGGGGCTCTGCCTGCGCTGCTGCCACGGCCGGAGGGGCCCCTGGAGAAGCCGGCGACAGACAGGCCTCCCGCGGGGGACGGGCCTTACGAACAACAGCAGTTTTGGGGGAAGAGCCGAAACACAATGACCTCACTGCTGACGATGGCGTGAACACCTCCCCAGGGACACACAACACACATGCAGAGCCAGACGCACGCCCGGGCCCTGGAGACTGGGAGGTCCAAGAATCTGTTCTTCTCCGAGCAGACGGACGCGCTCCTCGGCGGCAGCCACGCGCCAGGGAGTGAAAGTGGAAAACTGGCGACTTGTCCACAGAGACCCGACTTGGCTGCCCAGTTCTGCGCTGGCCCATGCGCCATCGCCGCGGGAGACGCAGCGGTGGCCCCAGGGACCCGCCGGCGGGGGGTGGGGGTCCTGCAGACGCCGGGGGAGTGCCTGGGGCGGGGGTGTCAGCACCTGAAGGACAACCCCGCCCGGGGCGCAGAGCACCTGTCCTGAGAAGCCCTGCGGGGCGCGCGCGGTCACGGCCTGGGCTCAGGCTGCACTAGGCGGCCGGAGGCGCCCTGGCCGGGCACGGTGCTCTGGAAACAAAAGCAACCTAAAAGCAGCAGAAAAAGCAAAACCCATTCAGCGCGTTGTGACGGTGCCAACACTGCTTGGGAGCCGGTGTGCGTCCATTCGAGGAGGAGGGGGGGGCAGCGGGGGCGGGGCCGGTGCTGGGGGAAAGGCAGGTCCCGGCAGCAGCGGCCGGCGGGGGGACGGCAAGGGGACGCGGCACCCCTTGCCGGCCCCGCCATGGCTCGGAGCGTCTGCAGGCGGAGGGCGGCGGGGGAGCTGGCTGCAGGCCCACAGGTCATGCAGGGCGCACAACCGAACACACGAGCTGAGTAAGGAAACACTTTGAAAGACAGGAGAAACCGAGCCATCGCGTTCGCTTCTGCAGACGAAGAACACAAGAAGAAACCCCTCCACCGACTCGGCGCGAGGCCCGGAGGAGCGCAGAGGCGCGCGGGCGGGGCGGCCGGGGCCAGGGGCCTGTCGCCGGCATCTCCTCAGCCGCCTCGCTCCTCCGGGGGTCTCTCTGGCGAGTGACGCTCAGGCCTGCTTGGAAACAAGCTCTGTCCCGCGCCAACCCCGCGGCAGGAGAGCCGCGCCCTGCCCGGCGGCGCGCCCGGATGCGCGGCTTCCTCAGCGGAGCGGCCGAGTCCCCCGCCCGGCCTGATCGGGCTCGCGAGGGCTGGAGCCACAGCAGGCCGGTGCCTTCTTTGGGGGACACTTGTGACAGGCCCTTGCAGGGGACGCCGCCGGGGAGCCAACACCCCCAGCCCCGGGGGGCGGGTCCGGAAGAGGCTGCTTCAGGCGGGAGCGCGAGGGCAGCACAGCCCTTCCCCGGCCGCCGGCTCGGGCGCCCCTGGCCCCCACCTCCTCTTCCTTCTTTTTTGGTGAGACTCGGGGCTCGCAGACGCGCGGCGACAGCAGAGAGTCACGCGCAGCCGCCTGGGCTGCTGGCTTCTTCCAGACGGTCCTGAGCAGCGCGGCCCGGGTGACCCGGCACAAGTTCTCAGCAGCTCTCGGGACCGCGGGTGCTCGGTGCCGGCCCGGGGCGCGGCGGGGTCAGCCACGGCCTGCAGTGTCTCCGGCGGCCGCCGCCGGCCCTACCAGCTGGCCCGCACGGCTTCTATGTCGCTCACCAGGTTCTGGGCCAGGCAGATCCCGAAAATCTGAGGGAGGGAGGACGAGAGCGTCACATGGTGCCCGTCTCCGCCTCGCTAGGCTTCCTGGCACCGCCTCCCGCCTCCCTCTGGCTTCACAGGTTGACATGGCAGAGTCATTCCTCCTGGCAGGCCGCCTTGAAGCCGTGTCTGTCAGTCCCTCGGCCCAGGAGGCGCGACGCCCCGCTCTCTCTGACCCCAGCAGGTCTCGGGGCTCCCGGAAGCAGCCCTTCCCCTCGAGGACGGCCCCCCAACCCCCAGCCGTCCCGCCCGCCCCACCCCTGCCCACAGCTCTGAGGGCACCACGGCCGGTCTCTGGGCCTTCACCAGCTCTGGGCAACCCCGGTGCGCGGATCCATGTACAAAATGTTTTCCAGGTCCACCCGCGAAGTGACAGCGGCCCACAGGAGCCAGCAGCGCGGCGGCCGGCACAGCCCCCCACAGCCAGGACCTGCTGTCTTCCCGCGCGCCGTCTCCCTGGGCGCGCCGTGAACCGCGCAGTGTGCGGGGAGGACGTGTCCAGGCCACCCCGGGAAGAACTGCACGTTCCTACGTAACTCTGGTTCATTTTCTGCGGAACTGCCGCAGGGCTTCCAGAGAGGCGCGTCCCCATGCACCCCGCCCCGGGCTCAGGGTCCCCGTGCCTCCACCCCTGCGGCTCCTGGCGCCGCCACCTCAGGGCGTCTGCTGGCTGACAGTGTTGGGCACCTTTTCAAGCGCTTGTTAGCCACCTAGGAAGGTTCTCTGGAGACAGAGCTATTCAGATCTTTGCCCATCTTCATCTTCAAATTTTTCCAGCACTTTTTTTATTTTGATGAAGTCCAGCTAATCTACTTTTTCTATAATTACTTGTGCTTCTGGCATCCTCTCTAGGAAAACACTGCCCAGTGCAAGAGCACAGAGATTGATACCTGCACTTCCTTTTTTTTTTTTTTTTAAGATTTATTTATTTATACGAGCACTGGGCACAGTCAGAAGCGCGGGAGGGTGAGAGGATTCCTCAGAGCCAGAGCGGGGAGCAGAGCAGGCAGAAGGACCGAAGGACACTGCTGAGGGGAGCGGCGGGCGGCAGGAGAGGTCTGCAGCGCCATGTGGGACTCTCGGGGAAGGGGGGGGGGGCGCCGGGGATTGAACCGGCGCTGCCGAGGCTGCGGGCAGCTTCGCAATCCAGCGCTCAACCGCTGCGCCACCAGGGGAGGCCTGATACCTGCACTTTCTTCTGTGAGCTTTACAGCTTTCACTCATATATTTAGACTGATCTATTTTGAGTTAACGTTGGCATATGTGTGAGGTTTTAAATTCGTTCTCTTGCGTAGGGCTTTTCAGGCGGTTCAGAGCCACCTGTCAAAAAAACCCTTTTCCTATTGACTGGGCTTGGGCTCCTTGTCAGAAAAAATAATAATAAGATCTGGATCAAGAAGATGTGCTCTAGGGCCTCCCTGGTGGCACAGCGGTTGAGTGCTGGGTTGCGAAGCTGCCCGCAGCCTCTGCAGTGCCGCCAGTTCGATCCCCGGCCGCCGGGTGAGGGTCCCGCATGGCGCGCAGACCCCTCCTGCCGCCCGCTGCTCCCCTCAGCAGTGTCCTTCGGTCCTTCTGCCTGCTCTGCTCCCCGCTCTGGCGAATTCTCTCACCCTCCCGCGCTCTGACTGTACCCAGTGCTTGTATAAATAAATAAATCTTTAAAAAAAAAAAAAGATGTGGTCCATATACACCATGGAATATTACTCAGCAATCAAAGATAAACTCATGCCATTTGCGGCAACATGGATGGAGCTGGAAGGGATCATGCTCAGCGAAATAAGCCAGAAAGACAAAGAAAAATACTAGATGGTTTTGTTTATAGGAGGACTGTAGGGGACCCAAATAAGGGATCAGAAAAAAAAGTAATTATAATAAAGTAAAAATCAAAATCAACAGGCAACTATAAACCAGAGACATTCTGCAGGGGGGGAGGAGGGAGGTGGATCAAAACAGGGGTGGGGGGAGCACAAGGGACTATGGTGATGGCGCACGGGCGGATGGATGGTGGGAATTTCACAGCGACTATACCCGAGATGAGAAAGCGCACATTGCATAAAAACTAAAAATGATGTAAAAATGTATAAAATAATTAAAAAATTAAACCTAAAATATAACAATAAAATCAATGGACTTTAAATGTATATTTTCCCCTGGGATTTCAATGCCATTCTGTCTTTCGATATGTTGTACCTAATACTGGCACGTACCGTCCTGATTCCTGGGGCTTTGTGGAAGTCTTGCGCTGGGGAGTGTGAACTCTCAAACTCTATTCCCTTTCAGTTTGCTATTCTGGGGTCCTTGCATTTCCATCAGAATTTTAGGATCAGTTTGTTCATTTTTAAGAAAAACAAAAAACGTGCTTGGAATTTTGGTAGGGATCGCCCTGAGTCTGTGGGCCAGCTGGAAGAATATCGCCACCTTCACAACCCGACGCCCGGAGCGCCGGACGCAGAGTGTCTCCTTCACAGAGTGTCTCTTTGCTTTCAGTAACTGCTCCGTGTGCCGCCCTCAAGGATGCAGCTCCGTTATCGGGACACCCGGGAGGAAAAGTGGGCGCTCCCTTTGCTCACCACACTTTGCAAGTCATCTCAGAAAGGGGCCCGGGAGGACCTGGAATCCCAGGACACCTTCACCTTGTGGTGGGACTGACTCGAGCACCCGCCGCCCGTCACCCCTGCCACATGCAGTGCCGGCCCGGGACACGCTGGGCGGCTGCAGCTCAGAAGAGCCGCCCCTAAAATCAGAGCCTCTGTAAGATACACGGCAAACGGTTCCGGTCTGCTCCCCTGGCCTGCAGCGTGTCTCGCGACCATGGCATGGAGGTGACTGGGTGGCGCTGCTGGCGGCAGGTTCCTGCGTCCCTGCCCCGCGGCGCGCGGAAGGACCCTCACCTGCAGCAGCGCGATGCCTATGAAAATTCCGGCCACGATGGTCAGGTTGTCCTGCAGCCACTTCTCAAACTGGGGCACGCAGCCCTTCGTGTAGATCACGATCTGCTGGTCGACCTCCTTCACGGGGGAGAGGAGAGCACAGTCAGCACATGCACGCGGCGCCCGGCCCTGGGCCCGCGGCGGGCGCCACTTACTGGTTTCTGCCTGGCGTCGTAGCCGCACTGCGTGTTGATGACATCCTCCTGGCGAGACACAACACAGAAGGGGGGCTCAGCGCCCGCAGACGGCAAGCCCGCGAGGGCGAGGCAGAAGACCCCCGTCCACGCCGGCCGTGCCGCTCCAGCCGCGCAGACACCCCCGGCGCGTGGAAATGAGCCCCGCTGTGCTGCGCCCCCCGCGGCGTGCTCGGAACCCGGCCTCGAACACGCCCTCTCTTCAGACCAGGAAAGCCGAGGCTCGGGCAATACCAGAAAGCCCTGCAAGTCGGGGGTGGGGAGACTCAGGGGTGGGGAGCCCTGGCGCCGGGCCGCCTCGGTTATGCCCTTTTTGAGGGGTGTCTTTGTCTTCTAATCTGTATACGTCTCTATTGCTTGAGTGGGCTGTCGAGGAAGGTGTTACTTTAATAATTAAAAACAAAACAATGCCGATAAAACCCCATCAGCAGACGCGGTGACCCCCCACGGGCCCTCAGCACACACGCGGTTCCACTGTCGGGGGCTCGTTCTCCCGTCCCCTCCGCCAGGCCGCAGCTGCGACTGGCTTAGTGACGGTGGGGTACGCCCACTCCGCCTGGAGCCCCCGAAGTGGAGGGCGCTGACGGCCGCGGGCAGCCTCCACGATTCCTCAGAGGGAAGCGAGGGCAGCACCGGGTGGGGGGAGAGCGCAGTCTGCGGGACGGCCGCCGGCGTGGCCAGCCTCAGAGCAGGGGGCGCCGTCCTCACTGATTCTGTCTCCTTGAAATCGAGAGCCCAGCCCAGGGGGACCCTGATGGGCAGCCTGCAGGGAGGCTCCGCTTTCCCACCCCAGACCGCAGCCGTCTGAAAGAGCCCACGCCCCCTGCTCCCCCTGCGGGGAAGACAGCCCGCAGTCCTGCACCCGCCGGCCCTGCTCAGGTGGGGGTGCGCAGGCGGCCCGGGGATGGATGAGCCAGACGGGGCGCATGAATCCCGAAGGGAGGAGCACGGAGGACTTCACACTCGTCCCTGGACCACTGAGTTCTGGTTTTTACTTAAAACAAGGGCACCGCATTACAAGTGCTTCTGTCGCTGTACCAGGTACATGATGTGACCCAAAATACAACTTACAACGTGGTGGAAAGGAGTGGCTTATGGGCAGGTGTGATGCTTCTTTCTTAAATCAAATACAAGCTGCAACTACTGTACTGATCATTCCCTGAGAGCCTGGGCAGCAGTCAGCCCTGTCCTGCCCCTACTGAAGCAAGCCAGGAGAGGGGCTCCTAACCCCAGCCAGCACCGGGCTCCAGCCGCAGGCCCGGCCTCCCGTGAGAGGCAGCACGTGGTGCAGCGGCCAGGCCAGGGTGCTGCCCCCGTCCCCAGAGGGTCACTTCAGCTCCACGTGCGTCTGCTCTCCCACAAGAAGATGGTGGTGTCTCCCCCAGAAGGAACGTTCTGGACTTATAAGAGCCAAGGCCTGAAAGCGTCTGGAATAGGCCCCAGCCTACGCTGCTAAGTTCCTATCCGCCATCCTGACTCCTGCTGGGAAGAGCTGAGCACTACAGCAAAGGAGCTGCAGCAGGAAGAGCTAGCAAGCCGAGGCCTCTGGAGACACAGGCGCCCGCTCCCCCACCGCCCGGCGCGCCAGGCTCACTTACTGCGGGGTCTTTAGTGCAGCAGGAGAAAGGCACGCCACATCGCTCTCGACTTGCATTGGAATCTGTGCAATTGAAGTAAATATTTAGGTTCCAATCATCAGCTCCAAAAGCCCCACAGCACTGCCACTAGAGCAAACAGGAGAGAATTAGAACCTCCAGGCTGGGAGGCAGCCCGGCGCCTGCGCCCGCCCCCACCCGCCGCGGCCGCAGCGCCCACTGCGCCGTCACACGCAGGCTTCAACCAGGGGAGCCCGGGCACCTCGCTGAGCGGGGCTGAGACTGTGCTGGCCTGAGACCGGACAACCACGGCCGGGGGGTTAGGCAGGGAGGGAGGAGGCACAGTCATAGGAACATTCTGGAAGGATTGGCAAGGACAGAACAGGGCAGCTGGAGGTGCGGGTGAAGATCAAGAGGCTGAAGTTTAAAACCTTTGATCTCTACACCTTGAGGGGCCCTGAGAGCCGCCTCGCTGCGGGGCGCAGGCTGGGGCCTGTGGGGGGCCTCCTCCATCGCCAGGGTCGGCACACCCGCCGCCCCGGCATTTTCAGAGGCTTTTTATCACATGTCTGTGTCCACTGAGTGTTTGTAACAAGGGCGTGGATGGTCATTTTCAGCTTTGAAATTGAATCATCCAATGAAATCATGAGAAGCTAAGCTGTAAATTCATCGCCTCTTGAGGGGCCCAGGTGAGGGCTGCCCCCTCCCCGGCCCCGGCCTCGCGCCCCAGCTCTTCTCGGAGACAGTGAACATCCAGCCCTGACTAACTTCTAAGGCTTTCAGGACCAAGAGCTACTTCAAACCACTAAACTCCGTGACAGGGAAATAAAAGGACATGAAGAGCAGCCCCTGGAGAGCGCAGGCTGCACGTCAAGTGTGTGCACAGGCCCCTCGGCTGTCTGGTCCTCTGCGGCCTGACCGGCTGGCCCCTGGTGTGCTCATAAGCGCAGGCGGCCGCGGGGCTGGGCCACCACAGCGGCCAGGGCAGCCTCACGCTGCTGCATTGTGGCCTCACAGCGGGGCTGGGCCCCCTCACTGAGCCAGCCCCGCCCAGAAAGCTGCCGCCCCCGGACGCCAGCTGTGTGTCGGGAGGACGTCTCTTGGGAACTGTGGACAACAGTGTGTCCAGACGCACGTCGTCGCGAGCCGTGGCGCCCGGAGCCCACCGCAAGGGGCAGGGGAGGAAGGGCGCGTCGCCCACGCGGGAGTTCCGTGGCGGGCGGCGGGGGCTGGCACGAAGGCGGACTTACATACTCCTGGGTGAAGTCGATGAGGTTCTGCAGGTCGATGTCGTCGCGGTAGGCGCGGATGTTGTTGTTGATGAAGAAGTACAGCTGGTCTTTGATCCAGTCTTTGAAGACGAACGCCAGGACGCCGGCCGTGAGCTCCAGGAAGAAGATGATGCCCAGGAACACGGAGAACTGGGAGGGAAGACGCGCGCCGAGCTGCGTGAGGGCTCGCTGCGTCCCGCACAGACGCCTCCTCCCGAGAGGCCGCCTTGCCCCGCGCGCCGCGTGCACAGCAGGGCTTGGCTGCGCCGTCCCAGGGCGCTCCCCCTCCCAGGGTTCCAGGAGGTCACTCCAGGACCGCGCCTTCGGGGTCCTGGGGTTTCCCTGCGCAGCTAACCCGCGGAGCCCGAAAGCGAACCCGCATCACGGAGACGGGGGCCCGCGAGGGCCGGGTCCATCCTGGCAGGTGCCGTCGCTGTCCTTTCAGTGAAGATGCAACGACTCAAAGGCTTTCCCCGGGAGACCCCGCGGCTGCTGCGCCCCGGGAAGGCGGCCGCCTCTCTCGCTCTCCTCGGGGACCCCCACGCTGCAGGCCGGGGTGACCCGGCTGCACACCCGCGCCTCCTGCGCGGCACCTGCCGCTCTGCTCTCCCCGGCAGGAACCTCCAGGCAAGGGCACCCCTTCTCACGCTCGCTCTGACACCCCAGTTACGGCTGGGGAAGGGCCCCTGGGGTCAGGCCGAGAGTGCCGGCGAGGGCGGGGGTGGGGGGGGGGTGCTGCGGGCCGCACCAAGGGGCGCTGTGCTCTGCAGGAAACAAGGGCTCGCGTCTCCCCGCAGCCCGTCCTCGCAGCACACGGCCCCCAGCGGGAGGGCGCCGGCCCCCCCGCGCCCCAGCCCCACGCAGCCGCCTGCTGCCCCGGGAGGGCGTCGCTCGGAAGGTGACGCGGCGTCTCCCTCCCCCCGCAGGTGGCGTCCGGGCCGGGGAGCCGGTGGTGGCCCCAGCCACGAGACGCCCCCGGCAGCGCCCGCGCGGCGTGGGATACTCACGAACTTGAGCAGGAAGGTGTTCTCCCGGAGGGCCCCGATGCACCCCGCGAACCCCAGGATGAACATCACTCCTCCCACCACGAGGAAGAGCCAGACGGGGTCGAAGCCGCCGAGGTCGGTGATGGACGAGATGTTGGACAGCACGCCCTGGGCGGGACAGACACGGGGGTCACCCTGCGCGGGAGGGGCCGGCCCCCCCCAAAGCCCCGGAGGGAGACAGGGCAGGCGGGAGCCCCGCTGCAGACAGGGAGACACAGGTCAGGACGCTCCCCCCAAGGGCCGCGCTCCCGGCCTGGGTGACCGTCCCTCGAAGGCAAAGAAACGTCCGGGGAGCTGCTGGCCGGGCTGGGGGCGCCCGCGGCAGGGGTGGGACGGCCCCTCGGGCTTCCGCGTCACAGCAGGCGGCGAGACCCCCACGCCAGCGCCAGCCCCAGGCGCGCAGTGGGGACGGGCGCCCCCTTCGGGGCCTCAGCATTTCTCGGACTGTCACAGCCCGGAGCCTCCGCGCTCCGCACGGCGCCGCCGCCGGGTCACCCTAGGCCCCCGGACCCCGGGCCGTGCTGCAGACCGAACCTCGGCGCTCGAGGGCGGCGCCCCCGGCCTGGCGACTTGGAGGCGCGGCTGGAGCCTGCGCTCCCCGGCCTGCCCCGTGCCCGCTGTCCCGGGAGGCCTGTCCCGCCGCGAGGACCCGTGAGGCCCGGCCTGGGGAAAGGCCCCCAGTGGGCGCGGCCCCCCCCAGGACAGGGCGCTCACCTGGGGAAGCCGGAGAACGTCCCGGCCTTTCCCCAGCCAGCGAGGGGTGCAGGCCCCCCCCAGGCCACGCTCCCGCCCCGGGCTGCGCTGACTCTCAGCGACTGGGGGTTTATTCCTGACCAGCTGGCAGCTGCAGGGGCCTCCCTGGGGTGCGGGGGGGGGGGTTGTCTCGCTGCAGCACGAGCTCCATCCCCCAAGGGGAGCTGCCCCCCGGGGCGCAGACCCTCCGTCTCCCCGCTCGCCCCTCCGAGGGGGTCTCGTGGATCCGCCTGTTCTGCTCCCCGCTCTGCCTCTGCGGAGTCCCCTCACCCCACTCCTCTGGCCTGCACCCCGGTTTTGCCTGCACACGTAAACACACCTTTTAGAACAGTCACAAGCGCGAGCTGCGGGGACGAGCGTGTCTGGGGGTTCCTCCCGGGCGAGGGCGAGGGGGCGGCGGGTAAGGGGCGTTGGGGCCGAGACCGGGATGCCCCAAGCCCGGTGTCTCCTCCTCCCCACCAGGCGCTGCCAGGACCCCGGCCGCACACGCCGCCTCCCGACGACCAGCCGGCGCCCGCCCGCGCCACGCCTGGAGGAGACCCCGCGACCGTCCGCACAGGGAGTGGGACCCGGAGCCCGCCCTTCCAGGGACGCCCCTCCAGGGACGGGGCAGCTGAGGGGCGCACGTCGCAGGAAGCCGCCGCCGCTCCCCAAGAGAGCGCGGGCCGGGCGGGCGCGGGGGTGTGTGTGAGCCCCGGCGCCCCACTGCGATGGGGGACACGGCCGGCGGCCCCGCGGCGTCCAGCAAAGCTCCGAACTCCCTCTGTGCGCCCCCAGCCGCGGGGTCGGGAGAGGAGGCCCGGGAAGAGGTCGCCAGCAGGACACCAGGAAGAAGGGGCGCCAGCAGCGCCGCGCCCAGCCGGGGTGCGGGTCCCGACCCGCTCCGGGACAACCCCTGGGGCCAGGACCCCCGAGCGCGGCTCCACAGACCCCCAGGCTGCAGGTCACGTGAGTCCCCAAGGCCCCCGGCGGGAGCCCGGCCCGCCAGGCCGGGTGCACCCCACAGCCGGGACGCCCGCTCCAGGCGAAGACGTGGCGGCCGGGTGGGGGCGCCCCCCACGCACCTCCCCGCCCGAGAGTGAGACCAAGGCCAGGGCCCAGCGGGACCCCCCACCCACAGCACCCCAAGGGGCCGCGGCAGGGAGGACGTGACAGGCGACGCGGGCTGAGAACACCCTCCCAGCCATGAACGCACCGCACGCCACACACACCCCACGCCACACGCCACCGCGTGTGACTCCCCACGGCCACGCAGAGGGAGCGCCGCGCTCCAGGGTGAGCGTGCACCCCGACACCGGGGGGCGCTCGCAGAGTGAGAAGCACCCCGACACCTGGGGGGGCGCTCGCAGAGTGAGCGTGCACCCCGACACCCGGGGGGGGGGGCGCTCAGCACCAGGACCCAGGGCAGCGCTGCCCAGGAGGGGCCCCACCCACCGCCCATCCCCAGAGTCCTGGGCCCAGCAGGCGACACCCCCCAGGAGAGCCAGGGAGGCTGGGAGGCAGGACGGGAGACACAGGCTGAGGATGCCGCTCCTGTCAGGAACACACACCACACACACACCACACCCTGCACACACACACACACACAATACCAGACCACACACCACACACACACAATAC